ATGCATAGCATTGCAGTAGGTGATACATAGAGAAGAAAGATGTAGAGGTCTTTAACTGATTACCTTTTAGAACTTCTGAAGAGTGAAATAAATATGAATGAAAACAGTAGATAAAATTGATATTTTGAGGAAGAAACCAGACATTCTGCATATGAGCCCTAAGATAATTAGTCACTAGGGTGTAATCCTTAATAGCTGTAGAGTGTATGGCCTGATAAATGGTCCCTGTTCTACCACAGAGAGTAGTTTTAGTAACCGGATAGTTTGTTTTCCTCAATCAGTCACTTTTTCCCAATAATAATATTGAATAAACATCCTCAAATTCTTAATCATCTTATTCTTTTGTAAAAGTCTTTCTCTCTATGTCCTGAAGGTCATTTCTCATTCTTTCTCCCTTCAAATCACATACCAGTCATGCCTCTGGAACCCCACCCAGGTCACTGAACTTGTTCACTTAAAATTCCAGAGCCACCTGGAGGAGGTGGAGGATTCCTTCAGTTATAAAGGCTGCTCTTAACTTAGCTCATGCTCATTTTTTCCCCCAGTTTCAATTCAAGGAAACAAGTTTCAAGGTTTTGAGGTACCTTAGTGTCTCTGCATATCCCATAACCCCCTGAGTCCACGGAAGGTAATCCCGGAGGCAAACTCAAAGAGGAGTCCCCTCACTGTAGCTGCTTTTCAGCTACTTGCTTACTGTGTCTCCCTGTGGGCCAGTCCATATCTCGTTCAGCATATCTCTGGCATCTAAATTGATACAGTTTTACTTGGATAGTTTATTAGCTAATCTCCATTAACTAAAGTGACAGAAGAAATTGAAGGGCAGTGATTCGCATGTAACCAATAGGGATTTGGTAGGAAGGTACCTGTGCTTCCTGGGAAGATGGTACCCTGAGCAGCTCACACGTGCCTGCTTGTCTTGGCACAACTCTCCTGATGGTGGAGATGGAAGTGCCGAAAGTTGTCACTTGATTGATCTAGCCAGGGTCTTGGGCCGATGACCTCTGCTCACTTGGCCTTTGTAGTGCTGTGATTAATATCAGGCTTCTTAGGTAGTCTTCCTCTTTTTGGGCAAAGTCCCTAATGCCCAATAATTACTATTTTTGTCTGCCTAGCTGTGCTTCTCATGGAAAATTGGACACTCCGAGCTCCTGTAAGTTGCATCACTTTTGAGTCAGTTTTGATGAACGTAGACAGAATGTAGGATAAGCTTTGTTGAGGACTGGACCCAGAGAATTCCGGGTGCATCTGTTGTAGTGGCCTTATGAGGCCTTGTTTTGCTTTAAGACCCTTTCTGTGATGTCTTAATTTCACGTCTAATTTGAGAGGATCTCTCTTCTCCAGAATTTGTAAGCTTTTAGAGACACACATAATATGGAACACTTAAGTGATGATGCAAGGCAGGACTTGACTGGCTATTAAAAAAAGAACTGCATTTAAAAAGCAGGGTGAAAAACTTCAAAAAGAAGAAAAAAATGAAATGAATGGTTCAGAATGTAAGTGCTTTTAATTGAAAGGGTGTACATGCTTAGTGGCTTCAAGCTGATCCCCGGACAAGAGGACAGGTGTGGAGCAAAGTGCAGAGGACAGATATTAGCAGAGGCTGAGAACTGAAGGCAGAGGTTTTTTCAAGGGCAGAGGCCTGGCCCAGGTGAGGCAAACTGGTCCTGAGGGTTTGTTGGGGTAGATGCCTGGGTAGAGCTGAGAGGGGCCAGGCTTCTGAGTTTCTTGCTTGGACCCTGCAAGTGTGAAAGGCAGTGTGAAACAGAGGGAGAGATCTGCATAGAAAATAGCTTAATGAGGTTACCCTCATGGGGAGAATTAATTTACTGAATAATTGGAAGGGGTAAAAATTTGCAGGCATGGAGAATGGAAGGGTAGTGTGTATAGTAGTCTAGGTATAGGTGAAGACTAACCTGTGGACAGTAGGGGGACTTGCAGGGGTCATATGTTATGAATCGACAAGTCTTGTCAGTTGGATATAAGGTAAGAAGGGATGTGTATGTGTAAAGAAATGAGCAAATATAAGATTCTGAATGTGAAGATACTGTGCAGAGAAATACTGTAGACTATAAATTTGTTGTTAAACACTATGCTTTGCCCAAAATGTGCTTCCTTTTCTGGCTACCCCTTCGTTTTTCAGGACTCTGCTCTTTCCCTGATTCCATCAGCCTCTGTCCCTATGGATTCCGGTGTTTACCCCTGTCAGACCCTAACCATATTGAATTCTGGTTGATTTGTCTGTTTCCTTAACTAGACCAGAAGCTTCATGAGGCTAGGGGCAGTTACTTCCCTCCAGCACTTCCTAATATATTAGGTATTCAGATATTTGAGGGGTGCATATATACTCTTACATTTTCTTGTTTTCACTGCAGTATTGTGAGTAGCTCTAATAGTTATTAGTTATCCTATTGGCATCTAGATGATCATCAGCCATTGCCCTAAGAGCAAAATAATACAGAGGGCCCTCTGCTCTCCCACTGGCTTGTATTGGATGGATGTTTGCAGCATACAACCAGTGTGTTGTGTATTAAAGACAGTAACGTGTACTTTGATTTCTTGATAGAACAGGTAACCCCAGGTGAGATAAATCAGCCTGATGTCAAAGTTAAAGTACATTAGAGCCACAGAGGAGGAAATGTGCTGTGCACCAGCCCCATTACTGTACCAGGTGCCCCAGAGAAGTGCAATATAGCATTCTCAGCCTTCATTACTCAAGATCTTTCAGGGTGGATGAAAATGGAATTCATTAGAAGGAAAATCCTGTTTTTTATTCTTCTTTTACTTGGGTAATTTTGCTTGAGAGAGTATTAATATGTATTTAGGAGCACCATACTGTTTTGTCCAATGCTTGCATTTTTCATTTAGTGACTTTTGAGGTAAGTGCTTTCTCTGGGAGTGTGAAAGCTGGGAGGAAGGCAATCTGATTCAAAACGATACTGAGTTCTACAGCTCCTCTGTTTAGGTGAATTTAAGTTGTCCGAATCAATGAAGATGTAATCAGCATTTGTTTCCTCTTTGCTAGCTGGGGAGTGTTTTATGGGCCTTCTTAGCCTCGTAATCCTCACAGATCTCACATCCGTTCAAGAGGGGGAACTGCATTCTTCTTGCTGTATCACATCACATTGGTACTTTAAAGGAATTCCTCTTTAGGTAGCGCTTTTTTTCTTTTGATTTTTAAAGCTCTCTTGTAACAGGCTTTAGGGAGTTAAAGTTTTTGTTCAGAATGAGTGGTCTTTTGCTTTTCCTTCCCCTCCTTGTTCCCCGCGTTGGATCCTTGGGGGAGCCCGAGTGGTTGGAGGAGTTTGAGGGAGAGTCGAGCTGTCAGCAGTCGGTGTTTTCAGCATATGGTGAAAAGGGAAGGAAGACGACAGTCATTTCAAGTGGGGAGTGGGCCACAGGTGTTTGTCAGATGGTTTCCACTGAAGTGTGCCTGCCCCAGGCTGAGCTGTAGGTTGCTGGGTGTTAGGGTTATGGGTGAATGGGGCTTTGCAGAAAAAGGGTGGGGTGCGTTTTTAGGACTGTACTTAGGACTGTATTGCCCTTTCCCATAGTGTGAAACTTACAAGGTAGCCCAGACCAGAGCTTGGTAAATTCTTTTAATGATTCTTAAAGAATCAGTTTTGTTAACAAAACTGCACAAACCATAACTGGGTATCTTAGAAAGAAAATACAAAATACTGGAATTAGAAAGTAGGGGCTTGAGTATCTGAATGAATCATGTCAGTCTGTTTTGCAGGTGGGAAAAGACTGCATTTCATTAGACAATGTGTTTTCTGCCTTTCACGGGAGAATTTACTGTGAAACTTTGGGTTTTTAATTCCTGTCTTGTTCTATCACAGTGGTTCTCTACATTTTTCTCCACTGTTCCTGTGTGCCACAATCTTGGAAACAGTGTAATGTAGTGCTGTGGGTGAAGGGGAGGTTGGGTACTTCTTCTGATTTGAAAAGCCCTCCTCTCTCATTGGGAATCACTGATCTGCAGCAAGATCAGGGCCCTAAAGATATCAAGGTGTTTAACAAGTTGGGAAGAGCTTTTTGGATTAGTTGAGAGCTGCCCTGTGTGATTACAGCCCCAGGTCCATCTTTATAATTTTATAAGCTCGGTGATGGCCAGTCTCCGTCCAGTGCCCTTTTCCCTAAGTGCAGTCTTTCTTTTACTTGGTAGCACTGGAGGCCTGTTTTCCCCTGGTGCCTTCAAGGAGTTAGAAAGGTGGGTTGAGGAACTAAGTGAACTGCTTTCCAAGTTTAGCTAAGCTAGGTTGGACTGGGCCTGAAAGGAGGTGGGGTGAAGTACAGTGGAACTGGATTTGCAATTTGAGGCTCCCCACCCACATTGTGACCTTGGGCAAGTCACTGCTTAAGCATTTTTTGGCTTCAGTTTCCTAATGAGTAAGTGGATCAATTTATATGATGTCTGTGGTCCCTTCCTGTTCCATGAGGGTTTGGAGATGGCGAGAGGAGGCAGTTGGATTTCCAACACCCTGTTTTGTTCCTACAACTCTAGGTTATTGGGCTTTTAGGATTATTTTTAGGAAAATTTGCCTGAGAAGCATAATCATGCCCAATGCAGTGTAAATATTCACACATTCAGGCGCAGCCCCATCGCAGCCCCCAACACATGCGTAAAATATGAATCTGTCTGCAGTGAGCAAGCGCTCTGTTCATTGCTGTGGGTTTTTTTCTGCAGTGCTTGCCGCCAGTCAGCTGAAGACTCGTGGAGTAGTTGTAGTGATAATGTCACAGGAATGAGAGAGAAACATGGCACCTTTGGGAGACCTCCTGATAGGTGGCTTCTCCATGCTCCCCTCCTTTTTGAACCTGTTCTGTTAATGATTGTACCTAATTATGTGTCTTTGGTCTTTTTACTGTTTACAATTCAAATGCTACTTAAAGCCAATTGTTTGCCTCTGTGTGCTGTAAATCCTGGGCTGCTGTCTACAGCACAACTTGATGATTGTGTATTATCATCTTGGGTTAAGTGCTGTCTCATTGCTTTGCAGGCTGCCTGCTGTTTCCCGGGGAGATCATGAAACGAGGTCGCCTTCCCAGCAGCAGTGAGGATTCTGATGACAATGGCAGTAAGTCCTGCTCTGTTGTTCTTGGAGCCTACTAGGGTTTGGGGCAGTGTAAAAACATGATCTTTTAATGTAAGGCTTTAAATAGCCCAGGCTCTTCTCACATCAGGCAGGTCAGAGAAAGCCAAGGCCTGGGGAAACACATCTGACTGTGATACTGTAGGTCTGTAAGCAAATCTTTCCCGGTAAGGTTGACTGCAGGTGGGCATTCCTCAGGCTTCTGTTTGTGATCCCACCATGAGTATTTCAGTTCCAGGAGTCGCTGGTGTGTCTGTTTAGGAAAAAGATCCTTTATGGCACTTCACAGTTGGTCTTTATGAAAAGGGAACTTAATCAAAGCCGGTTAATTACTAGCTAGTCCAACCTGATACAAAGAGATTGAGAGCTGCCTAGTGTGATTTGAAAATATTAAGCACAGGCTTTTAGTAGGTCGCAAGTCAGCGTGCTTCACTTGGTCTTAATGTGACTGTATTTAATGTCTGCATCCCAGCACTCTGGCACCTCATATTTTCATGGTGCAGCAGAAAACCAGAAGTTAGTTGGCTTCCAGGCAGTCAGAATAAACATCATACAGTGACTGTGCTTTGAGAAGCTAACCTGCTACCTGGAGAAGAGCTCTCCTCACATAGATAACAAGGGAGTTTTGTCCCTAGCACAGTGCTTGAGCCCTTTAGTTTATGTTTTGTATTACATATAAACTTGGGAAACCTTGAAAGGATACTTGCTCTGTTGCATGAAGGGAAAGGTATTGGGCCTTTCAAGAAACTGTCTCAGACATATGCAGAGTCCAGCTCTGATAGAAGGTCATCAGAGCAGTGATAGAGATGTCTTTTTGATGCACTGTGGAAATTTATCTTTGTAGGCACAAATTCAGAGGGGGACAGGGCCAGGGAAACTGCCTTTATAAAGGAGGTGAAAGTTGGTCATGTCCTGAAGAAAGAAATAGCTTTTAGACAAACAGGGTTCTTTTTTTGTTTTTGGGTCTCCAAGTTTGCAGCAGATTAGAAGCTGCAAATTAGAAAGAAAGGCTTTGCTGCCATGGGCAGCCACACTAATGGATGGGAAACACAGGAGGGGCCCAGAAATGTGAGAAGCTGAAGAACAGGAAAGCGTGGCTTTCTGGTTGGAGCTTTGGACCCAGGCTGGGGCAGTGGGAAGTACAATTGGTAGTTACAGGGAGGGCCGTCGGGGGCTTGGGGTTTGTGGGAAGGTTAGCTGTGACCAGATGGTGCAGGCCCGGGACTGAAGCCCTAGGGATTGGGACTTTTGGGGCGGATCGTAGGAGCTGCCGGTGTTTGGTGTTTGGCGCAGGGCAGGAGTAGACAGGGTGAGGGAGGGAGAGACACACAGGAGTCAGGAGTAGGGGCTCTAAGGAGAGGGGCTATTATTTCAGGGAGAGGCACTGAGGGTCTGTGCCAGGTACAGGCAGCTAGAACCACATGTCAGAGCCTTCAAGAGTGCCTCTGAACATCTTAGCACTTGTCATTTGTGGTCCTCATGTCGTATTTTTCCTAATACTTACTTAATGCGCTTTTTATTCCTTGAGGCAAAACATGTTTAGGTATTTCTTTTCTGTCCTGTGTGGTGCCTATCAAAGTGTCCTCCAGACCAGTAGTGGTTCTATAGCATCTTACTACGCTGTTGGACAGTGACTGTAATGGGATATGTGGTGGGGACTTGGTATGTGGGGAATCTAGTAACCACAATGTTGTTCATTGTAAGTGTATATTAATGATAACAAAAAACAAAACAAACAAAAAAAGCCCTAAATGTCCTCAGGAGTTATAAATACCTAATAAATGTTTGCTCCTTGCTCAAGTACACAGTTTTGTCCTGCAGCAATTAAAAAACAATCTCCCTTAGGCTCACAATTAATCATAAGAAGGTTTCATGAATTATACCTCTGCATACTAATAATACCCTTTAAAAGACTAAGAGTCCTATTTTAATATTTTTTTTTGGCATTGAGCAACATGTTTATGCTTGCTCTGCTCTCATTCCCACCTCACTTCCTCCCTGGAGAGCTGGGTTAGAAAAGGTTCTCTTGGAGCCATCCCCTTTCTGGACTAGAATTGCCCAATAGGATAGAAATGTTCTGAACTAGTGTAACTGAGGAACTGAGTTTTAAAGTCTTACTTAATTCTTACTAACTTGAAAAGGTCACATGTGGTGAGTGAATGCCATGTCAGACAGTGCAGTTCTGGGCTGAGGCCTACCATAGTCCTTCTCAGCTATCCAGAACAGTTCCAGAGGCCCTTGTAATAGTCTTCTCAGGCTGCCATCGCAAATACCACAGACACTTAATGAACAGCAGATACTTATTTTCTTAGAGTTATGGATCCTGGCAGTCTAAGATCAAGGTGTGAGCAGGCTTGCTTTCCCCCAAGGGCCCTCTCCCCGCCTTGCAGGCGGCTGCCTTCTTGCTATGCCCGCACATGGTCTTCCCCTGAGTGTGTGCACCCTGGGGTCTCTGTGTCTGAATGTCCTCTTATAAGGACACCAGTGTGATTGGATTAGGGCCAACCCTAATGACCTCATTTTAACTTAGTCACCTCTTTAAAGGCTTTATCTCCAAATATAGTCACATTCTGAGGGGCAGGCTGCAACATAAGAATTTTGTGGGGGGGGCACAGCTCAGCCCCTAACAGCCCCAGAAGACCAAATGCTTCATCTCAACACATATTTCCACCCAGAACTCTGGTTAGAAAGGGAGGAGGAGGAGTACCCAAAGCCCCCACCAAAGAAAGGCATGTTCATCAGAAGTCACTTCTTGGCTATGGGTCTTTATTTCTTCCTCCTCATCAGCTTGCATCTGTGGTAGCCTCCCTAAAGAAGGTGAGGGTGGAAGATTAAGGTGCATGTATATGGGGTACTGGCGGGTTAACCAGGTAGAACACAAAGATGGGTTCAGTTCTGCTCTTGGCTAGACCTGGAGATCTGTTGGTGATGGTTGAGGTCAAGTATGATAGTTGCTGGTGGAGGTAGGCAGGCCCTCCTTTTTGTCGCATAGTCGGTTCAGTATAAAGCGTGTGTTGATGCTTTATGGCTGTGCTGGTTGTCCAGGCCTAATGGTTTGGTGATCCTGGTGGATGACGGTTGTGGTGACCTAGCGGCTCTCACTAAGAACTCTTGGAATGCCAAACTTCATAAAAATATGCACATATCCCTGCCCTGGAGCACCTTCCCAGCCTCTCTGAGGGCAGCTGCCTCACAGTGGAGGCCCTGGCCAGCAGCCTGCCTGTTTGCCTTGGATCCCATCGTCTTGAGTAGGTCCCTAGAGGTGCAAGTGGGTGTCTTCTGTCCCTTCAGGCAGGTCCACAGAACTGAGCCCACTCTCAACCACATCTGGGCACTTGGGAAAAGGGCTGGGAGTGTGCAGGGGCCATTCCCCAGCCTCTCCAGCCTGTAGTCCTGATAGAATTTTGGCAGCAGCTCCCAGCCACATACAGAGAATGTCCAAGTGGCGGAGAGGCAGCTGCAGACGTCAGTGGGGGCCCCAGCTCCAGCCCTCGCCATGGCTCAGCCCCCTGCCTCTAGGGCTGGTGCCCACGTTTCTTTTCTGGCTGGGTCTCAGGGAATAGCAGAGCGGTATTTACAGTTGGAGATGGATGAGCATTTTCTGTGCCAGCACAAGCCCTCACCCAGCTGCAGCTGGGATTGTTGACGCCTTTCTCCAGGTGCCCTGGAAGACCAGCCTGAAGTTGGATAAAGTGCGGTGGGGTGCCGCTCTAATTGCTGGGCTCCTGGGACTGGGTGGCCCTGCCAATCTCTGACGTTACACATTGTGCCAGGGTGTGGCCAGGGAAACAGGCCCTTCATTTCCTGCCTTCCAGCCCAGGAAACTCTGTCCTTAGGATTTTTGGCAAATGTGGAAATGGGTTCCACCAGCTATTTTCAGTATTCACAAAACCTAAAGGAGATAGAAGTAATTAAAATGTCAAGTGTCCTTTCTTCTGGCAGGAATTATGTATTATTGGTTATCTCAGGACAGTTAACTGTTCAGCATCCTTATATTTTTTCCTATAAAAGTAAGAAATGAATTAAATTGTACTTGATGAATAATGTCTATTTAACAAACTCTTTTTTCCAAAATAAGGGATCTTTGGCTAGGATAAGGGAGCCAAATATAAATGGTGTTTTTTTAAAATTGTTTTTAGATCAAAGACCCAGAGGGGAATTGGTTCCTTTACTTTCCACAAATAATGAGGGAAGTGTGCTGATACTTTAAAGTTTTTCCTAAAGTTATGAAGGAGGACTTCCTTTTTCTGCTCAATTTCCTAAATCTCAGGGTCGGGCTGACCTCCTTGGAGGAAGGCTGTGGGTGTGGCTGGGAATCTGGAACCAGGCGGCTTGTGGCGGCCTCTGGTGCCCCAGTTCCCATGCCCGCGCTGGTACTGAGACACTGCTGTCCCCGCCAGTCCTCTGGCCGGACTGCCCTGTCACCTGTGGTACTGAGGGGGCAGAAGGGGGAGCTGAGTGAGATCCAAACCTATGGATTCCGCAACTGGTGAAACAGGTGGCCAAGTGGCAAACAGGAAGTTTTGTGAAGACTTTTGTTTTTCTGGGCTTTTTTCAGCTTACAGATAAGAATTTAAGAAGAACGAACACAATTTTTAGTGGATCAAACCTACTTTCTGCTCTAGAGCCTTTTACCTCTCACTGCATTTAATGGATTTCTTTACATTTTTTGATGACTTGCCTCCATTTTCTTATGATTAGTTGGCTGTGCGTGCTTACCTTCTTGCAAGTCTTTGTGGTTTCTCTTTTGCATAAAAGTTAATGCTGTTTCCAGTTCTATTCCTGCTTGACTGTACCTTTAATTTGCTCCTTTTCCCTCATTAGTTGTATACTGTAACACCAAGGAGTTGTATAGGAATTCTTGAAATGTGGAAATTTTGGCAATATTACAGAATTGTTCTCTCTCAAGGCACATGGAGATGGCTTGGCCCCTTTTCAAACCTGCCCTGTGACTGGGCTTTGGCGTTGACAGGCAGAAGTCACCT